CCCCAGTGCCTGTCCACCCTGCTGATGCTGTGCACCAGCGACATGTACACGCTCATCAACTACGTGGGCTTCATCAACTACCTCTTCTACGGAGTCACTGTTGCCGGGCAGATCGTGCTCCGCATCCGGCAGCCCGACATCCACCGGCCAATCAAGGTGGGGGTCGACTCTACAGTTAGAGAGAGAGGAGAAATTATAGTATATTTATTTATTTATTTATTTATTTATTTATTTATTTATTTATTTATTTATTTATTTGAATAGGGACAAAGCACATTAATGAAGATCAGTGAAAAAACAAATGTAAATATGCCGGATTGTAGCTACAAAGCTAATTTTCATCCGTAGTCCCTAGGCAGGCAAAGGCATAAAAAATAACATATAATAAACAATATAAGCATCACAATTAAAAGTTTAGATTTTAGTGGTCACATGACTGGCTTGCTTTCATCCAAAGTTTAAGTTGAGCTGTAAAGCTGCTCATATTTTATATTCATGTGATACTTAAGAATTCAAGACCCCAAAAGATGTGATGGAATCTGAGAATATTTACGATAAATCTATTCCGAGGTCTAGTTCAGATTATTCTTTGTTTGGGGTCAATTTTCCTATCTATCTATCTATCTATCTATCTATCTATCTATCTATCTATCTATCTATCTATCTATCTATCTATCTATCTATCTATCTATCTATCTATCTATCTCAGACAGTGGAATAAACAAAGATACATATTTATTACTATGTAATTAGTAGTTTTCATAGATTAAGATACACGAATACATCCCTTTTCCATTTTTTTCTCAAAATATTGTTTTTTTAATGATTTATTTGTCTAATTTATCCCTCCCTCCCTCCAGGTCAGCCTGCTGTGGCCGGTTATTTACCTCGTTTTCTGGGCCTTCCTGCTCATCTTCTCTCTTTACTCGGAGCCCGTGGTGTGCGGCATCGGCCTCGCCATCATGCTGACCGGCGTCCCCGTCTATTTCCTGGGCGTCTACTGGGACAACAAGCCCCAGTGCATCAACACCTTTGTCGGTAAGTCGTCTCAGATTGTTGGAAAAAAAAGAAGAAAAAAAAAGCCATGCTTGTGTTTATCCACCAGTGGTTTTTTGTCTGTCTTTGTTATCTATGTTTTGGTAAAATAAGACAATATGGGCAAAAAGACAAGCTTTTGTTTATCCACCAGTGGTGTCTGTCTTTGTTATCTATGTTTTGGTAAAATAAGACAATATGGGCAAAAAGACAAGCTTTTGTTTATCCACCAGTGGTGTCTGTCTTTGTTATCTATGTTTTGGTAAAATGCGACAAAATGGGCAAAAATTAACACTTTGATAAGAACAAGAAGCTAGAAGAAGTAGGAAACTTCCCACAGGAAGTCCTAAAGCAGCTAAATAAAAGGAGTAAACAATAAACATTTCACAATTTAGCTTTAGCTTTCAGTAAATGGGCACACAAAAAAATAATCATAAAATATGTGTTGATATTTTGGAAACAGAAAAAGGTGAGTCTGAACCGGGGTGAACAGAACTGGTTATAGCTCTTTGGCGCCCCCTGGTGGCCGTATGTCGCCATTGCAGTCACTTTTTCCCCTTTAATAAACCAGCTCTTTTTTCTCAGGATAGAAAAAGCAGCACTGTTTTGGGAAAAAAAGCATTTTTGATTATTTGAAACCATGAAAATACTGATGTCTCCCTCAGTATTTTTCCAACTCAGCTTGTCAAAGTGTTCGAGTGTTTTACATACAGTCCTGGATGTTCCCTCTTATTCAATTAAGGGCCTAAGCGGCTCCATATTTGAATAATTTAGGTTTCTTTAGTCATATCCGACCTTCTATATGGACCCAGATAGGATATGATGGAGGTTAAGGCCTATAAAGAATTTTAAGGCTGAGAAGCCTCAAAGGAATACCCATTTTTGGGGTGTTTGGGGTGATTTTTTCCCCTGAATTTCTGCTAAAACCCTCTTATTTTCCCTCCTCTCCCCAGACAAAATGACCTACCTGGGCCAGAAGATGTGCGTGGTGGTTTATCCGGCTGAGACCGGCAGCGGGGGGGCAGCGGACGAGGGCGAGGAGATGAAGGAGGCGCGGTCCCCTCTGTCCAAGGAGGGCGGGGACTGCTGAAACCTCGGTTTTATCCCCACCTGCCACCTCAAAAAAAACCCCAAAACAAGCAAACCCCGATTCCACGCTTCGCCGTTAACTTTAGTTTTTTTTTTTAAAGGAATTCTGTCATTTTTCTGCTTTGCTGAACGTGGAAAACTCCATCGAAAGTGCAATAAAGAAACGTTTTTTGCACCCGTCTTCAGTCCAGGCAGCGTCGACATTTGACCTTTGACCCCAGCAGCTTCGCTCTCCCTGCTTCATTTAAAACATTTTTTTTTTCTGAAATCAACCAAAAGACTCTCATGTGAACTGAGACGGTCGTTCGGATTCGTTTAGGTTGTTTCTCTGAGCATTGCCAGATTTGTTTAGTCTCATTCGACACACCAAAGCTGGATTTTTTTTATGTTGAGAGCAGAAATTTCCTCATTTCACGTCTTTTTATTTCAGAAGTGACTTCGACTTTTTAACATCTCCGTTTTTTTTTTTGTAACTGTGATTATTTTCTTATATAATTTCTAGTTTTAACATGTTAATTTTAGGATTTTTGAACTTCTTTTTTTCTAACCTTTTTATCTGGGTTTGATATGCAACACCTGAAGGTGAGACTTTGTGTGGGTAAATGTGCAGGTAGTCGCTTTGTTAATTGCCTTAATTAAACAAAAAACGATTCAGTGTTCTGCGCTTTAGTGCCATTGACGGATGTAAAAAAGGTTTAAAGCTTTGTGAGTTTAGCTTTTTGTTTTTACCCGAACACAAACCAAAAAAATAGACACTCTTGAAATAACATAGGAAAAGTCGTAGAGAAGTTTTAGCTACAACCACCAGTCTGTTATAACTAAAGTGCACAGCCTTTAAAAGAGCATTGACTTTAATTTATGCCACTGGATAAAAGTATTGTTCCTAATTATGCTAAAATCACCTTTTAAACTCGGTGTGAGAGTAAAAATGAGAGCTTTAAATGACTAAAAGACAGGTTTTACATCACTTAAAGGACATTTTAGTGCAACAATAGCACAAACTGAGCCCTGAATGGACCCTTATTAATACTTAGACACAAATTCAGCTTTTTTTAAACCAAGTATTCGTGTCTCAGGGCGTCCTCACGGCCTGAAAACCTCCAGACCGCCACAACTAACAACTCCTTACCGACTGAAATCCAGTCTGTTTGTGCTAACCGTCAACTTTGGTGCTTTTAGATATTTATTCCTCAGGATTCTGGGTCTGATAACGGATGGCAGGTGGACGGGTTTTTGGCCAGTGCTGCTCGTTGCTCTCGTTAAAACCCCGGAGGAACAGGGTGTTTCGTTTGGTCATTGTGCGTTTTATAATGTGTAACGATGTCACAAAAGTCTGTGTATTTTCACCTGGTGAAGAAAAAACCACTGACCAATGTTTAAAGTCCTACTTCAAGGCCTTGTTAATATTAAAATATGAAATAGTGCAATGATTTCAGATCGTATGATTGAATTTTTCTTCAATTCAATTAGTAAATAATCTTTTTTTAAATTAATTAAATGGTTTAAGGTGTCAAATAATGGTCCCTTTTTACCCAAAGCTGGAAAAAAAATGTTTTTTTATCTCACACAAGAGAGAACCTGGACCAAGTTTAAACCGTTTTAACCATAAAATGTTGTTTTTTTTGGTGTTTTGCACTCCCTGTCATTCCTGATTAGCAGCAAACGTCCCTCCTTGTTCAATTTCAGACAAAAACAGACTTTCTGTGCGTTGGAATGATCAGCTTTTGTGTACCGACAGCGATTTCAGACGAGCATCACACTGTGATTTTTCTACATCGTGTAAAAAAACGGTTTCTAGTTTTCCTTTTCCCGTTTGCTGCCAACCTGCCGTGAGGAAAAGGACGGAGACTCAACCCGGCGTCTGTCTGATGTTTAAATGTAAATGTACATATCGGTGGTGAGTGTATGACAATAAAAACAAAACACACACATGAGCAGAGTTCAGTTTTTTTTAAGCCTCCTTTGTTCAGCATCAACTCAACAAACCAATCGGAAAAAGGAGCCAAACAGGAAATACACAAACAGTGCTTCTCTGAACTTTGAAACTGAACAGAATGGATAGAAACCGAGCCGCATCAGAACCAAAACGGACGACTCCTAACGAGTTTGTTAACCTGTGAGAGACCCCAACTCTGTGGTTCATGATTTGGGAAGAGCAGAATGGAGGTTTTTCCTCTATGGAGGACAGAAACTGATAGAATTATAGCCAAAAAGATCTAAATGTCTCAATAAATAAATGGATAAATATGCTAAACAGCACCAATGAGATGATAAGAAGCTGAATAATTCTATATTTCTACTCTATTTCAAGCCATTCTATTGAAATTGAATCTTTCTCTTATTTCTCCTGATATGTTCTTACCCTGTTTATTACCACAAGACTTTTTATTTTCATATACTGTTTTTAACATTTACTTACACTGGTCTGTCCTTCAGGAGGGTAAACTTCTCTCCTATTGGTCAATCCAAAGGACAGCCTGTTGACCGACCAATAATGAGGCTGTATTGCATAAGGTAAAAGGTAAAAAGACATAGAAATAATAATAATAATTGTTGAAAAAAAGTTAAAGAGACAAAAAGTTATGAAAAATATGAAAAAGACTGGAAAAAAAAATTCAAATTGCATCAATTCGAATAGAAATAGAAGTCGATGTTGCATTTTATCATCAAATTAATGCATTTTTAGCATATCGATCTATTTACTGGGACATTTATAAGCTTATATTCATTCATACCGGGTTAGTTTCTGTCCTCCATATTCCTGACACACAAATTAACCTGCTCCTCCCTTTGGTCTTCTCTCTCACAGGGGAGGTTTAGCACTCGGGGAAAAGGTGCGAGTCTGCTTTGTGCCGCACCGTCGGCCAGCAGAACCTGAACCATGCTCACATTTTCTGTGAAAAACAGTAAAAAGCCTCAAGAAAAAAAAAACACAGAAAAGAGGAGACCGGCAAAAAGCCGATAAATCTAAGCTAGGAGACGACGGCAGGACCGCGGTCTTCCCGGTGAGGCTGGAACCGGACCGAACCGGGCACAGCCCCGTTTACCGAAGGCCCCGTGGTGCCTTCACTGTCACCCTGTGAAGCCGCGTGTCTTCGGTGTTCTGTGAAGGCATCGCATCAGTTAAGGCGTGTTTATCGCTCCGTTTTCTCTCTAATAGAGCTCGCAGCCCCCCCCTCTCAGGGCCAGGACCAGGTGCAGGACCGAGCCCCCCTGGATCTTGTAGTCTGCCGCCGTTTTTTCGTCGTTCCTGAAAACACAGGAAAGCAAAACAGATATTAGACACCTCTAATGAAAGGAAACGCCTCTAACTAACGGTTAAAACCTCCTTTCTCTAAACCAGCTTAATGTCAGGGCTAAAAACTGACTTCAACTGACTCCACACCTATAGCTGGTTCCTTAAATGGATCAACCCCAAACCAAATACAGACCAAAATGAATGGTTATTCTACTCTTCCTGGCTCAGACTGGACTGCACAGAACAGTGAACATGAGCCCGTAACTAGAATGAACTCAAATATAATAATAATATAAAAGCTTTCTGATCCTTTTAGGAGCCAAAAATATAATTTTACTTGAATTATTTAAACCCAAACTGACAAAACTTGTCAAAAATGAGTAAACATTTCATTTAAGAACTAATTTCAAACAGTAAATTAGTTCATAGAGGATGCTGGGAGCATCAGGAAGTAAGAAATGCTTCCAGACGGTGTGTTTTATGTTGGATTGACTCAAAGGTTTCCAGAAATGCTTTTGAAAATAAAGCATTGATAAGGATAAAACGGCTCTCGATGAGGAAGTGGTGAGCTTACATCTGTTTTCCACTGTAGATCAGCCTCTGTTGCTGGGGGGGGATGCCCTCTTTCTCCTCAACCCTCTCTTTAATTCGCTCCACCTGGATGGGAGTCGATAACAACACGATGTTCAGAGCTCCAACAGCACAAATGTGGGGAAACACTGTCCCATACCTTATCTGTGGGCTCTATGTCAATCTCTATCTCCTTGCCAGTGAGGGTCTGCAATAAAAACGAATTTAATTGACTGATTATGTCATTTTAACAGTATTTCAGTGACAACAACTGCTCATAATCGGCTTTTAAACTGGCTAATAGTTGTGTTTAACACGCCTTACCTTCACTTTAATCAGCATCTTTGTAGGTTTCTTAAAACAGACACTTTAAGAGGGTTGAGGAGTAGTTGCATATGTTAGCTGACTGTAGTTTCACCGTCAGTGGGATGAAGAACAACCTTTATGTTGATATTTTGGTGGAGAAACACGATACTCCTCCTTTTCCCCCAGAAATTCCGTGCGTCTTTCCGGCGTTCCTGGTCGAAAAACTTCCGTTTGCTTTTTTGTTCCGCTAACACGGATTTCGGTTTAATTGACCGCATTCAAGGACAAAAAATAAGCTCAAAGTTCAGTAAATAAACGGGTCACATTTCATACAGCCGCCGGACACGGAAAGCAAACCGCAGCATGAGAAGTAGGTCGCTAAAATCAACCTTTACGACACCAACGCAACGAGGCGTAAAACGGTTCCGTGCCGTTTGTAGTTCTTCAACGGTCGCTAGCCGTTGAGCTTCCGGCCGGAAAAGACTACAAGTCGGTCGTCAGTTGGTGTGCGTCGCCGTAAAAGTTCCCGCGCAAACGGTGGAGAGGAAGAGGAGCAGCGGCACAGATCAGAAAAATCCCACTTTCCAACGGTACGTGCCGTCTTTAGCTAAACATCTCCATTAATCTACTTCTTTTTAATAACCTGCTTATATTTATACACACTTTCCTAGTCCATATTAAGTCGCTTTGTTTAGTACATTGTCAACAACAGTAACCTTGAGTTTTGACATCGTGGCTGAAGAAGAAAACGCAGGTCTGTTTTGTACTTTTTGTACTCCTGCGCATGTGGAGGCTGAAAACGCTATTATAGGAAATACAATCATGAGCATCCCGTATAAACTAAAGTAACATTTATTGTTTCCTCGAACCACTCTTTGGCTCCTTAAACTGGACTTTGATTGCATAATTTGTGTTAACGGTAATCATCAACAAGTGTGGGGGGAAATGACAGGAGGAAAACCAAAATAAAGCAATATGGGATCCATTTTGACTGCTGACATTTTGTGTCTTTTGCAGAGCCTCTGTCTGTTTCTGGTCCTCTCACAGCCCGTTTCCAGGATGCCCCGCATCGAGAACGACATCAAGCTGGACTTTAAGGACGTCCTCCTGCGGCCCAAGCGGAGCACCCTCAAGTCCCGCAGCGAGGTGGGAACCCATCTGTGGAAGAACCACAAACCTGCACACCTTTTGTCCTCATAGGTGTCCCTGGACTGTTTGGAAAGAGTCTCTTTATCCATACGATCTCAGGGTTCTCCAGGACCATCGAGAACTACTCGTGAACATCCTCAAATAAGCTTTGTTCTATAATTTTGACTTTTTTTGTGTCCAGCTATCCCCATTTTGTTTTTACATGTGATTTCTAAGAGTGAATTATGTGTAATAACACCTTTTTTAATGTATTTTACCAGCTTAATTGTTACTAATCTGGTTTTATTGTGGTCCTTGCTTGAGCTTTATAGCCTAGTTTGAGTTTTTCTGGTGCCCAGTCGTTCGTTATTTCCCGGTTCGTTGCGTAAAAATGTCCCCGTGAGCTCGTCATGGTTTGTATTTTCTCTCGCCCTGCAGGTGGACCTGATGAGGAGCTTCACTTTCAGGAACTCCAAGGGCAGCTACCGGGGGATCCCCATCGTCGCCGCCAACATGGACACTGTGGGGACCTTTGAGATGGCCCTGGCTCTGCACCAGGTGGGACGCCGCCCCTAACCCTAACCCTAAACCCTAACCCTAACCTACCCCCCCGGGCTAACCTCGGCTCTGTCTCCTCTTCCAGTTCACCCTCTTCACCACCGTTCACAAACACTACAGCGTGGACGACTGGGTGGAGTTCGCCACCAAGCATCCCGAATGCGTGGAGGTAGGGTCGTCACCATAATAACATTTTCAACTCGATACCGATACTCAGGAAAATATTCGATACTCGATACCATTTTCGATCCCAAAGACCCCAAAATGTAACTGAATTTTGACAGGTTACTGTCTTTGGTTTCAAACTGACCTATTACTGATGTATTGTGGCCGGTGGCCCACATTAATGACCATAAACCTAACCCTCCACCCTTCATGATTGTGAGAAATAAGTATATTTTGGTTAAACTTGTTTGGACTTATTGTACAAACTTATTTAACATCCACTATTTTAACATAATATTATATATAGAGTTTTATTGAGTGTTTGCAAGATTCATTTCACTATTTTTAAATTAACGTCTATATTACCATGAAGCAATTAAGATTTTCTTGCCTGGGATCTTACTATTGGGGACCTAATCAAAATGGCCGACTTGGATGTGGGGGAGTTGGATATCCATCCTAGGCTTCCTGCAGTCTGCAGGCAGACGGACTTGATTAATGTTGGCGTGTTATTATTAGCCATTAGCCGCAGCT